GCAGAAGTGACTTCCCATGGTCCGAACCATTTCGGAAGGAGTTTGCGCGAAACATCCTGCTCGAGCGCAAATTCCTCGGAGAGGACCCAAACAAGGTCTCCCTCGCGGAAAGGACATGGAAGTCGACGTCGGTTAGCTTGCTGCTGCATGCGGACCTRAGCCTTTTGCATATTTGCACGGGCTTTGATCAGCAAGTCCCGGTACTTCCGGATGGAAGCGGGAGAGCAAGGGACGTCTATGTCGGCAGCCTGTGGCAAAAGGAGATCAGCGAAGATCCGTGCTTTCTCTCCACCATGATGTAGCTCGAATGGTGTGACGCAGATCGCCGGGTGCACCGAAGTGTTGTAGGCGAACTCAATGTCGGGAAGCCGGTCAACCCAATCTTTCTGGTCGGGACGGATGAGCGTACGCAACATCATCTGAGCGGTCTGGTGCGCTCGCTCCGTCTGACCATCCGTCTGCGGGTGCCGAGCCGAGCTCGGTTTCATTGTCGTACCGGACTCGGCCATGAGGGAAGTCCAGAAGGCTGACATGAAACGCGTATCTCGGTCGCTCACCATGTCTTCCGGAACACCTTGGTTGGTAATCCAACCGGTGTGCAAGAGTCGTGCGAGCTCAGCCGCTGCAGCATGATACTTGCAAGGAAGGAAGCGAGCATACTTGCTCAAACGGTCAACGACCGTGAGAATACCGTCATGGCAGTGGCGATCGCAGGGAAATGGGCCTGTCACGCCCATAGCAATTGAGAGGCGTGGTGCCCGAGGGATCGGCAACGGTTTCAGTTCGCCGAAGGGGACGCGAGATCGACCCTTGTTACGGTGGCAAATTGCACATGACTCAATGTACCTCGTGACGTCATGAAGGACGTCGGGCCAGTGAAAACGCTGGCGGAGGCGTGCTAGTGTGCGGTTCACGCCAAGGTGTGCCGAAAGTCGTGCGTCGTGGAATTCGCCGAGAAGACGAGCCCGTAAGATGCGATCTTGGGGCACAACTAACAAGTCCTTTCCTCTCGTGTGAAGGAGAAGGAACCCGTCGGAAATCCGATAGTGGCTAGCCGGCGGGTGATCCGATGAAAGCTCTGCGTAAAGCGTAGAGTAAGTCGGATCGGACTTGTAGCCTTTGACGAAATGCTGCTGCAGATCGTCATCGAGGTCGAATGCCGTGGTCACAATGGCACAAAAGTCGGGTCGTCGTGAAAGGGCGTCCGCAGCTCGATTGGCGGGACCGGGAATGTGACACGGGTTAAAATCGAACTGGTCGATGTAATACATCCATCGACCGATCGTGCTAGTGACCATGTCCTGTGTTTTGTAAAAGGTCAACGGATTGTTGTCCGTATTCCATTTGAACCGCCGACGGCCGAGAAGAAAGTGGCGCCACCGTTTGAGAACGGTGACGAACGCAAGTAACTCTTTCTTCCTAGCGTCGTCGAGACTGTTGACGAGAGGCACCTCTTGGGAGAAATACTCAGCCGGATGCCAACCGTTCTCGTGACACTGTTCCAACACCGCACCAATACCGTATCCCGAAGCGTCCGTAGTCACTTGGGTGGGTAGGGTGGGGTCGTATATACGGAGGGCAGGTGCAGCTTGCATCGCTGCCTTCAACGTACTAAACGCGCCACGGGCTGCGTCGTCGAACTCGAAGGGCACCTTCGGGGACTGAAGTCTCGACAAAGGAGCGGCCACTTTCGAGTATGACTCGACGAATCGYTGATAATATCCAGCCAAACCCATGAAAAAGCGTGCATCCGTAGTGCATCGGGGTTCCGGCCAATCCACGATGGCTTGGATCTTGTCCGCTAAGGGACGAATGCCTTTCGGCGTGACRAAATGGCCCAAGTACTCAAGCTCTTGCCTGGCGAATTCGCACTTGTCGAGATTCGCTTTGTACTTGGCTAGTCGCAAACGATTCAAAACAACGBGAAGGTGTACGATGTGCTCGTCCAACGTCCTACTATAAACCAAGATATCATCRAGGTAGATGAGGACGCTGCGATCGAGCAAGTCGCGAAACTCAGTCGTCATCGCTGCTTGAAACGTTGCAGGGGCATTGGTGAGTCCAAATGGCATGACAACCCACTCAAAATGCTCGTACCACGTCTTGAACGCGGTCTTGTACCGGTCTTGAGGCTGGATTTCAATCTGGTGGTAACCTGACTTCAAGTCCAACTTCGAGAAGTACGTCGCGCCGCCTAACCGCTCAAGGAGATCATCAATCCGAGGGAGAGGGCCGGCGTTCTTTACGGTTTGTGCGTTAAGTTTCCGATAGTCGATGCATAACCGTAGATCTTTGTTCTTCTTCCGGACGAAGAGAACAGGTGCWCCGTATGGCGAGCAACTAGGGCGAATCCAACCCTTGTTGAGAAGATCATCGAGTCGTGAGCGAAGCACCTCGAGTTCCTCTTCGCTCATGCGGTAGATACATCCACGCGGAGGGACGGCGCCAGCCTCGAGAGTGATCCTGTGATGTATGGGCCGATCCGGAACCGTCCGATGGGAGCCTCGAAGACATCTCTATACTCGTCCAAGAGGTGAGAAATGCGTGGGTCCGACGGTGACGCGGCTGGTCCGTCCGGCGAGGGAAGAGCATGCAAGAATACAAGGCCCAYCTCCTCGACGTCATTCCGAGCAATGGCGTCGCGAATCCGCGCAACGGAAACCACGTGACAAGCAATCGAAGTGTGAGGGGTCGCGACCGTACATGGGACTAACACTCCGTTCCGATCACGGATGTGAACRGYTCGGTCATGGAAGTTCACCGGATGATCGACGCTACGCAACCAAGACATGCCTAGAATCATGTCGAACTTGGTGTCGAGGATGTCAAAAGACACCGGCTCGCACGCAAGTGGCGCAAAGTAGACCGGAACGCCGTCAACGCATCGATCAATTGACTTTTGCGTGCGGTCGTCCGCGAGTGTAACTTGCGTAGGTTGCGTCTTCCTTCGAACGCGCGGGCCAAGACCTGCGCGGGCCATAAAGGCTTGACTCATGAAGTTGCGAGACGCTCCGCAATCAATCAAGGCACTACAGGTTGCCTTTCCGATTTGAATGCAGATATAGAGCAAAGGTGCGTCGGTTTCGGCGTACCTTTGGGTGGCGTGCTCGCGGTCGATCTTCGCAAGATAGGAGCGGAGATCGGCAACCGCTACCCCGTCGTCCGTCAACGGAGCTGGTACTGTAGTGTGCAAGTAGGAGCGTAGATTTGCCATCAAGGCGTTGCAATGCGGCCTTGGCAATGTTTCGGTTGAGGGTAGAGGTATCCAAGCGAAATCCTCTTTCGTGAGCGGGTCAAGCTCCTCAAGTCTTGACCACGCCATCGAGTCCTCGAAAATCAGTGGCGAACTGACCGGGTCACTTGCCGATGGTGTACAGGCTGCGCATACGCAATCTACATGCACGTGGCTAGGCTGGTCTAATGGTGGTACCAGCTGGGCGGCATAATCCTCGTACGTAGCACGAGAATCAGCGACTAACGCATGCTCCCCGGTAGTGACATCGATTGCTAGCAAGGCAACCGGGTTCGGCGGAGTGAGGAGAGACGTCGCCCCTCTCCTTGCGTAACTCAGTTTCCCGAGTTTGCTGGACGGGGTACGCGTGCCTTGCCCTTTTCGGGGCATTGTGCGGTCACATGGGTGACTCCGTTGCACCAAAGGCAGTATCCGTACTTCTGACGTAGGTCATAGACCTCCTTGGTGATCTTATATGCCGTCCATGGCTGCCCAGCTCCCGTCGCTGTCGTCTCTTGTGTCCTTGTTCTTTCGAACTCTCTTGGGACGCTTCGGCGGGAGCGCTGCAACAATTCCTCCATCACTCGAGGATGCTGCTGCAGCGTGGTGGTCGTCGGTTTCCTCAGAAATCACGGCATTGTTATGTGCCGGACGTTGATAGGCCTGCTTAGCCACATAGTGCGGCTGGGATTGTCTCTCGTTAGCGGCCTTGTCGTCCGTTTGGATGACCAAGTTCGCTCGATCCAGAATCGCCTGGAATGTGGTATAGTCGTACTCGTTACCGAGTGCCGACCGCAATCCCGCGCACGATCGCGAGAAGAACTCGGATCGTTGATTTGAGAAACTCAAATCGAATCCTGGCGTGGTTACTATCTTTTGCCACTTCGTTGTCCAGTCTCGACTTGGCATGTTCCGCTGAGAGCATGTGTACACCTCATTCATGGCCGCCTTCACGACGTTGCGGACCATGAGCCGGGTGAACCATAGCTGCTCGAACTCCTTCCACGTGATGTGCGTGTGGAGTTCGGTGATGGTGCACTTGTGGGTGGCCGCCAGGTGGTTCATCCATGCCTGCGCTCCTCCAATCAGTTGCAAATAGAGTGCCTTCACCATGTCGTTCGCCGGGACAGTGCGGCATGACGCTTCCGTGAGGAAACGTTGCCACCATGTCAAAGCGTCCGACTTGTTGTAGTCGTCGAACTTGCAGATGTCGAAGTGCGGCATCTTGAATGTCTTTGTAGCGGCGTCCGGTCTTGTCTGTAGCTTGGTGATGTCCGTCTTGAGGGCGGCCACCGTGCTGCTGATCGTGTCCGGCCCGTTGAAAACACCTATGTCGCCGATGATGGTGACGACGTGATCGATGCGTTCATTGATTTGCTTCGTCGCGTCCGTCGTGCAACCTGGCGCTGTTGAGGCCTTGGCCTCAATGTCGTTGATGCGTGCGATGGTAGAGTTCATTAGCTGTTGTTGTTGCTGCTGCTGCACTGCTGCGTCGTGGACGTCGGCCGTTACAGCGGCATGGTCTTGCTGGTACTGCTCTCTTTGCTGATGATCTGCGTGCAGGTGTGCCTGCAGTAGTTTATTGTTCCACATTACTCCCCTCATTACGTTCAACATCACGGTAGCCAGATTACTTTTCTCTGCCTCCGCCTGTGTCGGTTCCGCCTGCGTTTCCGTAGGCACAAAAATCATGTCTTGGAGTAACGTTGTCCATTGATGCTCACTAGCAATCAGGGACTCCGTGCTGGCGGCATTCCGTTTGTTTCGTGCCGCTGCGTCAGCCTCAGCAGTCTGCTGAGCTTGGGCTGCCGCATCCTTGGCCAGCCGCTGACGTTCTGCCTCTGCTGCCTCCTGCTGAGCCTTGGCGGCAGCTACGGTATCTGTAAATACCTGTAGCCGCCCAAAATAGTCAGCCAAAGACTCGCTGGCCTCTCGGACTGGGCATGCGGGAAAATCTCCGGTGGTGTCTTGTACTATCAATGCCGTACTTGATGCCGCTGGAGTCGTCCGTCTGCTGAATCTCTTGGGTCTTGGAGGTACCGCAGGGC